AGGTTCCAGCTACAGGAAACGTTTCCGGTTCTTAGGCTTCCGCCGCGAGGGAGAAACGGGGTTCTGAGATGAGAGAGACTTCTGGGTTGGTTTCTGGGAGAAGAAACTGGAACAGAGGTTAAAGGGCTTGTGTAGAGGCTTCTACTCAAAGCAGGAGCCATTCTAGATTAGAGAGAGAGAGAGAGAAGAGTTGTCTGAAGAAAGAAAACCCTATTCAAGGTTTAAGGAGAGCTTACTAGAAGAGAGGCCATTTCATTATCCGTTCGTTTCACACGCGCCTCTAAAAAAAACACCACTAGTTCATTGATGGTGTAAGTCACGCGCTTAAGGTGCGAGTATAGGTAACTCATATGTAGAAATCCCAAAGTAAGTACCCATTACGGCCTGTAGGAACGTATGATGTTCTATCGAATCTACAATAATGCTAATTCTAACTAATATATAGAAGTAGGATAAGACATATGCTTTTACGCGCAGGGCGAATATATATAATTAAAATATAAAATTTTAGTATGTACAAATTTAAAATTTACATATAACTGTTTTATATGTTTTTGAAATTTTTATATAATTATCTATACGTAGGATCAGAAACAATTGTAATTAGAACTGTAGATCAAAATTTAGAATTTAATAGACACAATTTCATATATTTTTTTATTTTTCAGTGTTCGAGTGATGGAAAATAAGGTTTGATTGGTACAGTGTTAACAAGTTCCCTAATGCTTTCTTAAAAAAAAGTTGGTAAAATATTTGCATTTAAAATATATAAAGTTTCAAAACTAATTTAATATAATTTATTTCTTTTTCTAATAATATTTGCAAATTATATTTTTTACAAATTAATTTTTGTAAAAAAAATTAATTTTATAAAAAATTAATTTAAATTTTAAATTATTTTAAAAAACAATATTATAAGTTTTTCAAATAAAAATAGACAATTTAAAATTAATTATGGTCGTGATTTAACATAACAATAATGACATAAAAAATTTAAAAAATTAAAAATTAACAAATTAAAAACTAACTCAGTTTATATCATGATTTAACAGTTTAGAAATTAATTATGGTTATGAAAAGTTTACGTTCACGTGTCACTCCTATTTATCTTCAATTTTTTCTCTTGTTGTATTTTTTTTTTATTTTGGTTATTACTCGATATAAATATTGATTTTGAAGTTTATTCTCATTTCGTTTGTTTTTTTTGACCTGGGATTTAGAAAATACTTAGATTTAAAATAATTAAAGAGATACATACTTAGGCTAAGATCTGCACTTTATGCACAATAAATATTTATTATTTATTCTTTATTTTTATATTTTCTGCACATTATAAAATAATAAAATAAGAAATATATATATATATTAAATAAGTAAAAAATCAGTTACTATTATGTAATAAATTGGCGTATGCATATAAATTTAACTATCACCCTTGTTTATTCGCAATTATAGGGTAAATAAATCAAAATAATCAATCTTATATATTCCATATGATATATAATTAAATTTAAATGATATAAACATAGTAACATAGCACACTTTTATTATGGATATTTATTAAATGAGGTTTCTACTCATATGATCTTATGATTATTTGCATATTTGTGTAACAAAACTTTACACCAACGAATTATTTTAGTGTGAGATGTTTAGTAATTTCAATAATTTATAATCATTTTAAAAAACAATGACATATTTCAAAACTAAAATACTAATTTAATATATGTTCAATGCAAATATCAAAATATAAATATGTATTTTCATATGATGTATAGTTTAATTTAAAAGATATGAAATATATATATAAACTAAAATTATTTTTTCATATGGTCTTATAATCATTATATTTTAATATAAAAAAATTAAAACCTTGATCATATAAGTTTATGTGAGATTTTTGACAGTTTGAGTAATTTATACTCATTTTATAAAAAAAAATTAGAAATACAACATACAAAAAAATTAGATTTTTATTATATGATTTATGTAATTGTGTAATTTATTTTAATAATAAGAAAATAAACAAAATGATACAAAGTATACAGATTGTTATCAAATCTTTATTGTTTAAAATTATTAATTGTCATATATATATTTTAATCGCATTAGGTAATTTCATAGGTTTTATTTACGGAAAGCTTAGGCAACAATAAATATTTGATATATGCGACCAACTATAGCCTATGAAATATTATATTGTTAGAGAGTATAATTTTTAGACTATGCATTATATTATATGCTTTAGAATCCTTCTAAATTGAAATAAAAGATAAGGAGCTATGCCACATAGGATTGATGTTATTTTTAATAATTATAAATTTAAGGTTACAACTTTTCAAATGATTCTCTTTTCATATATATGCAATTTTGAGTCATCGACCGATATCACAGGTTATATACACTGGAACCGGTTTAACTATGCGTTAATGGTCGGGTGGTAGTATGGTGTTCCATAAATTTTATGGTCTGAGTTCGCATCGGTCTAGATTAAGATTATCGCAGCGTGTGCTAACCATTGGAGTATTCACATGGGTCCCTAGCTTCCAGAGATTAAATTCTGGATTATCAAAATATATATATATATACACTCATTACCTATTAGCTTATTCAATGAAACATGATGTATAGTTAGTCACCTACTTCTCACGGTCTTTTTTTTTTCTATTAAGTATTTGAATTTCAGTATCATAATGAAAAGGAGCTTGTAAATGTTACAAAAGAAAAAGCTATAGCCATCTTCTACTTGTGTTTTATAATTTGTCCTTTATTTATGACTAAACAAAAGGAAAATAATAATATGTTGATGCAAAAGTTTGACTTTTTGAAGATATACTTGTAATTCATGAATGATTGTCTATTGAGTGGAACTACTGATATGTGATTAGTTGGTTTACACGAACTTACAACTCATGGCCAATGATTTTTCTTTTTAATTATCAAAGTAGATTCAATTTGCAAATCAAACGAGTAACTCTATATCAATTTAAACACAAAGATGGTTGATTCTTGACACTTCAGACAAGATTGCTCGTCCTTGTATTATGTGTTTGGGATATATAAATGAGAGTGATTGAAGCTTCCTTGTAATATCTTGATATCTTCTAAATAATTTACAACATTATATCATTCTTTTGGTATTGAAATTATCTCACTAATAGAGAACAATTCGTTGTAAAAATGATGTGAAACTGTCGTAAATTCCTCATATATACTATTATCCATATAAGTGTTTCTATTTCCGACGGTAATGGCAAAAGACTGTGTAACATCTCAATTTCTGATATATATATATATATATATGGAAGAGGTTAAGAGAAATGATACCAAAGTGCACTTATCTTTTTTTGTGAGCACATCCATTTAGAATTCCATGGTTAAGTGTGCTTCTGCTGGAATATTGAAAGGATAGATGATCTATCATGAAGTGGTTCGTGATATTGTGCGAGTGATACCAAAGCACGGAGAAAGTTCATGTGGTGACTGCATATCTAATAAATATGATTTTAAAACCTTGAAAAAATTAACGTATTGTCGGTCGCACAAAATGGGGCCATGGGCGCGAGTGAGTGGGCTAGGAGGCCCACTAACCGTGGGTGATCGGGATCTTATAAGTGGTATCAGAGCTAGTTAGCCATCTCAGTTTTAGTCTGAGAGGCGTTTTGAGACTTGTTGTAGTGCGCAACAGGGGCCCTGCGCTCTGTGAGTGGGGGTATGAATTATAATATCCCGGTTTCTAGTATATATGGAAAGACTTAAGATAATTAATTCGGTTATCTATGTCATCAAAGTGTACTTACCTTTTCGGAAACACATCCATTTGGAACTCCAGAGTTAAGCGTGTTTATGCCGAAGTAATGAAAGGATGGATGATCTATCGGAAAATGATTTTTGATATCATGCAATGAAGCGAACGCATGGAAAAATGTCATGTGATGACTGCATAGTCAGTAAACATGATTTTAGAACCTTGACAAAATTAACACACCACCCATTACACATAATGGGGTCACGAACCAAAACAGACGTGGGAGGTTTAATATGATAGATTATGATTATACAATAGATAAAAATAATAAAATTTTGTTTTTCATTTTATAAGAGATAATTGAATATATATATATATATATATATATATGTATATATATTAAAGTATAACTTTATTTCATTACTAATTTTGAATTAGTGAAATATATATATATATATATATATATAATTTTTTTAAAGTTAAGATCTTGTTAATTAAAATCTTTTCAAGAGATTAAAAATAAAAAAAAATATCAAAAATTATGATTAAAGTAGTTACAAAGAAATGATAAATATTTAATAAAATTTCTTAGTAATGGTCCAAATAAAAAATTACACACGGAATGAGCAGTGCCGGCTCTCACCCATGGCTATATGGGCATTTGTCATGGGTCCATGGGTCTATAATTTTTTTTTTATAGGTTTATTCAAATCTGTTAAATTATAAAAAAAAAACTCATAATTAAGTAAATTTAATTTACTTATAAAAAAAAGCTATATTATCATTATTATCAACTAAAGATAGAAAAAATGTTTTCATGTCATTGTTTTTTTTATTCTTAAAGAATTTATATTTTTTTATATTTGTTTCAGGTTTTACAGTTCAAATTAAAAAAAAACGCAGTCAAAACAATATAGAGAATCTTTATAAAAGGGTTTATGTTTCGCCTAGGACTATTACATTGGTTAAGAGGAAACTAGAAATGAGTCATGACTTCTATTTTAATATAATAGATTTTCTTTTCAATTTATGTAAATTGTTGTCAACATTTACAGGAAACATTTTAAAAAACGAACTCAGATAAATATAGAGTTTTGGAGAATTTTAGAGCCTAAATTGTCTTCAACATTAGATAATCCATACGGACCAGACCGGTGCCGATCCAACACTTTTTGACGCCGCACACAAAATCTTAACAACACACTTTTTATAGGGATATCAATAAAAAGAAATCACACTGAATCAAATATTCGAAAACGTTAAGGTTTTGGTGCCCGAACGTTACAAAACCATTATTGTAGAGCAGAATAAACAACAACAACTAAACTTTGTGTTTTTCTTGACATTGTTGCTGAGTAAATTTAATTCAATTAATATCTCACCACATGACAAATTTTTCTCTCATGGAAACACCCAATCGAGTACATGAAATTCGCCAATTGGGTCGGATGAAATGGATCAAAGAAAATATGTGTATCTGGCACCTTACAAGAGCTCGAACCTTTCATGCAACTCGTGGTTGCACCTCCATCATAAACACTAGGACAACATGGGCTTGTCGTGTTTAATAGATTCGAACTAGCATGATTGCTGGAAGGTCCTCGAAGTCCCAACATGAAGTTGAAGTAATCTGAGTACAGGAAGGAAGTGTTGGTGAATTTTTGCTTCATATGACTCAGGCTGCTTCTTAGCTTGGCGTTGTAAATGGCAACCACTAGGTTCAAATCATCGTCGCAGCTTCCACGTGGAACGGTATGAGCTATTATGTTTGGGTAACATCCTAAGGGTTTAAGGTTGTTGATGAAGAACTTCCTTGCTCCTAAACCATGCAATCTCTACAACAACAAAAAATCATAATCTTGCTTAACGATGGACAAACAAGCGGAAACTCAGACTAATCCATAGAATTTGAAGTATTCAATAAATTTTAGGTTTTCTGCATAAGTATTCCAGTTTATGTAGTTGCCAATGCAAATAAACTAACAATCTAAGAACAGGGTCATCGCCTAGTATATTAACGATAGTTTTAAAAAGGTTTTTTATTAATACTTTATTAACATTTTCATTATATAATTAAGATTAGTTTTTTTTTTAAGTTGATAAATTTTCATGTCTAGAAATGAAATATCTAACAGTTTCTATCTCATTCTCTGTCCAGTTTTTTGTGATTTTCTTTGTTAATTTATAGATCTATATACATCCTAACTATGGTATGGATGTGCTCAAATAGAGATCGGTCTAATGCGTTTTAATTTCGTTTAGTTTTTAGTTAAAATATGGTGATGATTGTAGTGTTCATAGTGGTTTTTGGTTTTTACATATTTTATTAGTATCTTATTATATTATTTTAAAATAAATTATCATTCCTTTTTTGTAAAACTAAAAAATACAGCCAAAGCAAAAATATATCTATTTTAAATATTTAAATCAAAAAGGTAAAAGCAAAAAAAAACTAAAATCTCAAAACCAAAACCCAAAAATCCAAAATTTTAAAATCAAAGACCAAAATCTAAAAACCAAAAACTACTTCAAACAATCAACACCATATATATATATATATATATATATATATATATATATATATATCATTTATATCAATCATATTTTGTTTGGTTTTAGTTAACTAAGATTCACCTCGGTTTTCAGATTCGTTAATTTGTTTATTGTATACACGTTTGATTCGGTTTTTCTGAATCAAACTATATTACCGTTAATGAATGTAGTACAAGGAAAAAGTGGTGAAACCCTAAAGACTTTTCTTTACCTGGATTTGGATAAAGAACTCACGAAGAAGCTTGTTTGCGAAACCATTTGCATCCATTGTCTTATTATAGAGGAAAGAGTAGTCGTTAACTCCGATTGAAATCATGAACAGCGATTCAGCAAGGTGTTTACTGAGCTCTGACTGCGTCTTAAACTGTTTCTTCAGATTCTTGTCAATGGTTTCTTTGAATAGATCGACTTGGACACTCAACGAGAGACATTTTCCCTTGTTCATAGAAAGAATCATATAAAACGCATTAGGTTCTTTTTTCCAGAAACCGATATTACAATTTACAGAGATGGTTTTGAGAATGTTGAAACTTACCACTATCTTTCCTGTCTCAGGCAAAATCCCACAGGTAGCAGAAGCATAATTAATACCAGTTGAGATATTGTTCTTTTGTTCTTCTGATAATCCCATATAAGCAGGAACCAAAGGAAGGTCATAATAAATAGCTGGGGGAAAAACATAACAAGACATTTAGACAAGGTTTAAATTTCAATATTCAAACTCCAGCAATCATCATTTCACGTTATTTGGATAATTTAGAGAAATATAGGAAAAAGTCATATAAATTTATCTTTCTAACATTCACTATTTTTTGTTATCTAGATTATACAATTTCTATAAATTACCAATCATATATAGTTTTCAATCCAATTTACTAATGAAAATTTTAGAGTATCTGCGTAATTAAATATTACCCTAACTATATGAATCATTTTAAACATAAGCCATCATTAAATATAAAACTTTGTTTTGTTCTTACCAATGTAATCAGCAATTGTTTTGCCATTGCCAAAGCGACCAGTGGGTTTGCCTCCTTCAAAGTCAGAACCGTAAGGTGGAAAATTTGATTTAGCCAACGTGTCAAGATGATTATTGTTTCCTGAATCAACCAATGAATCACCTATAACATACAATGCTGGAAAATTCCCTCCAAAAAGCACAGTTTCTTTAGTTAATGGCTTCGCTTTAGTGGTGGAAACATTGAGAAGACAGATGAAAAGCAAAAGAAGGCATGTGTTTAGAGAAGAAGGCAAAGCCATATTTTATCTTTTCCCGGTTTAGAGAAACAAAACAAGAAGAAATCAACCGTGCAAGTATGAAAGAATAAGCGATTTGGAAAGCATGATCATATAGTTTTCACACCTACTAGAAAAGAATAATACAATGAATCGAACTTATCATTAAATATTGTTAACCAAACCTACCTATGAATCGAACAATAAACTATCGAAACTCTTTTTTTTTTAAAACTCATATTGCAACGAATAAAATGCCCGAGTTCCATCATAAAATATCATGCTCAGTACAGCTGCACCTGCATATAATAAATTCAATCTTGCTTTTGTAAATTCTTTGTTTATTGCTCTAATTATGCTGGCATTGAATATAGTGTAACAATAGTTTATTAATCAAGATCTAAATACAATAATAAAGGATTTTATCATCGTTGCTGAATAAAGTATTATGACCCTAATTGATGTATGTAAAAAATATTTATATGTTCATCTGTTCAACAAGATTGTATTAACTTTTTTACCGTATCGAGCAAAGAAGAAAATATATTTAAAATGGACGAAAGAGCTTGGGCTAGTCTTTGCGTCTATGTCTAACTATACGTTTTCTAATGCTGCAGTAATACACTGCAGGTTAGCCATTAATGTTACATCCACGGATCCACCCTATAATGTCATGTAAAGTCAACTTGAGATATGGTCCATGGAGCTTCAATAACTCATCAACTATACACATATCAACTTCCCACGTACTTCCAGCTATATTGTTTAAGCTTAATCCTAAAAAAAACGTGTGGGAATTTATGAATTGGATGAGTAACATTACCTTATCCCGCTAATCGGAAGAGTAAAATAACATTAGACAAGAGAGGAAATGATTCTTATCCAGTTGCTGATTTTCAGATTCGTGTTGGTATGTATGTTCTAATTTTCTAATATCTTTCCAGCTTATCTGAATATATATGAACGCTACACATGTTTCTAATGTCTAAGTCAAGTGCAAATTATAACGCTCAAAAAGCGTATAAGATTTTCGATGAAGACCCTAAATTTTTGTACGAATTCCTCAGTACCAGACTGTTTCTGTTGTGTCCAGATAGACCTGATAAATTTCAAACTTTAATGCCACCAAAACATGCAAAGGTTGTGAAGACTAGGGGAGGACACAAATCGATTATCCGCTATTTTAGAGGTATTTGTAATTCAATCCGTTTTGTCAGAATAGTCAATTATCTGATCCGGTCTAATCCATAGCTATTTAGATATTTGGTGTCTAGATATCTAGAAAATTATATTTTTAATTGAATATCTGATTTGATCCGTACAAACAAAAATAAAACTAAAAGTATATAAAACTAAAAATAATTATTTACTTTTAAAAATTCTAATAAATAAAATAATCAATTTAATTAAAAAAAATGTAGAATATTAAATATTTGAAATTTGTTTCATTTTTTACAGATATTATATTTAGTATTTTGTTTTATAATTTTGTTGAGTTATAGATATTCATTTTTCGGTTTGAAGTGAAACATATAATGAATCAAATCACAATTTATGGATATTTGGTCCGAAATTAATTTGGGTCGCTAGACAGCTTTCAAATATGGATTTCTGCTGACTTTATGAAAAAAAAAGTATACAATGAATCTACTATATATATTAAAAAAAATTCATCAAAGAAACATTTAATATGATCAGATTTATGTCACTACAGAACTTATGTTATGTAACACTGCTAAAAGTTAATTTTCTTCTTTTACACAATTACATTGTGAAAATGAAATTTAACAAGTAAATTGAGTGGTTTATAGAATTTTAAGATAATTTTTTTTTGTTTTACAAGATGTTTTACAATTTGGGACAAAAACTGGATAATTTTAATTTTACTACAAACTTGATACTGCGTTTTAAATTTACCTTTAAATCATAAATACCTTATATTTGTGATGAAAACAAACTAACTAACCTTGTTTAAACATTTAAAATTTTTTAGAAATTAATAAAAAAAATTAAATACCTTAAGTTTATAAACCCAATTCCATCCTTTAAATATCAAACCCTAAATAATAATCATTAAATCATAACTCCAAATGTTAGAAATTTTGATTCAAACTATTTTTGAAAACTGATATTTAATTTGAAGTATCTCAGCAATTTCTAAAAAAGAAAAAAAAAAGAGGAATTAGAATAGAGTCACCTCTATTTGTCTCTAATTTGTCTATAATTTGTCAAGTGGCCAAGTATTATTATCATTCCCATCAAATCATACACCGGACGAAAATCAAGTTGTGTGATAAATCATAAATCATACTCATACAGCCAACGAAACAAAATTAAAGTATCCTACGTGTATTTTTATTGTATTGATAGGACAAATGTTAACCTTTTATAACATTTTCCATTGCTTTATTTATATTATGAACCTTCACTGCTTAAACCCTTTGCTAAAAAAACAAAAAAATCATGCTATCATATATAAATGGTCAAAAATAAAACCTCAAAATTATTATAGCTACTCGAATTTCTTTGTATATGATCATCGTGAACTATAAAACATTAATATTAGTACTAAAGTTGGTTTTTTTATCTAGAAAGAGAGATACAGTAGTTTTTGAATAAATATTAAATTTTATTCAACTTTAAAACTTTTTAGAAATAATAAATATTAATTCAAAGTTTAATTAGAAAGAATGATAAAACTCCAACATATATTATGTGTCATATTGATGCAAACCACTTGTCTATAGCATTTTCAAACTCTTGTCTTCCCATCATCGTGATTGTAGAGATTATATTCCTCACAAAGTTTGTTAATGTAGTATTGCATCTGAGCCGCTGTTTACGGTAGTTCTCTATGCAAAACCAAATAGACAATCGCCTGAAAGGTATAGCGGAGGAGAAATAATTGTGTCTTGTCCTATCGCCTATTCACCAGCAGCGCCAAGAGCATAGACCACTTGTTTGAGTACAATGAACCGATAAGTTTTGAGGTTAACCCCCATCCGAACGTCGCTGGTGGAGATATACAATTTCACCATCAGTTACCAACTAGAACTTTGGTTTGGAATAGAACAATTAAGTCAAATCTCCCTCTTAAGAAATACATAGTCCTTTAAACGACAGAGTATAGATAAAAGAGAGACGTAATGATGAGAAAGGAACTGCCAATACATTCAGAAGCACTATGTATATTGCCAACGAGTACGATGTTTAGAAAAGCAACAATTGGATATTTACAAAAAAAAAAAAGTAACAAGATATGACCATACAATACAAGGTAACATAGAAGATTTTCTCGAATGCTAAAACATTTAAAGTTGTTCAATGCGAAAAGGAAAACAACATCATCACACTTTAAAAGGAAAAAAAATGGCGAACTGAGATATTCACATACAGTTTCTTTGTTAGTATAAAAATCGTCAAATCGATCATATGAAATGTATTGTAGACGGGATGAGGTAGCTTGTTGTTAGGTAAGAACCTTGTGAGCCAATTGTCATCCTTACGGATTCGACGTCAGACGGAGAGGAATTGCCGAATCTTGTCACCAAATGAGGTATTGGATGTTAGGACTTCTCCTCAACTCAGGTAAAACCCTCCCAAATGAAGTAGACCGTTGCCTAACCGAGCCCAGGAGAATAATTCACGAAGTGAAAAACTCCTGGATTATCAAAAAAATAAAAAATGTATTGTAAATTTAAAAATACCCCAAAACGATTTAACGTATGATGATCATTGATGCATCCACTTTATCACTATGTATACTAATGATTTCGCATGTTTTTTTCCTTGTAATTTGAATTTAATAGTAGGAAAGTTACTTAAAACATTATAATCATCAAAGAAGTATACTTCAAAGATATGTAAATATTATATTGCCTCTTGATAGTACATATAAAAGTACAACGTAAGAAAGTGGGAATGTTACTACTTTAACTTGATGGACAAAGGGTCACAAACAAGGTCCCACTTTATACAAGCTTTTGGTAACCTGAAGGGATAAATGGATAATGGAAAAAAATGGGTCGATGATGATGATGATTACCCATTTCGCTTTCTCCGCAGCTGTCTTCATATGTACCAAACCATCTTTGGAACCTTCACGTTTACGCTTTACCACTTTCTCTCCTCTATCACCCATCAAACCTCATATAGATTAAGCTCAAACTTATTAGGCTATTATGAAAGCTAAAAACATAATATACTTCACTCTCTTTAATATATTTAACACATCATCATAGTTCAACTACTGTTCTGCTATATTTCATCTTCTTGTTTCTCTATTACCATGTAGTTAATATCTGTCATATAACAGATGACGATAGGTTGATCATTTAGTAACCGATCAAAATCAACAAAGACTAATATTATTTATAAGACAAGGGGCCAAGCCACAAGAACATACCAAAGGAAAGAACAAGTGAAGGCTGAGACAGGGGCAAAAAAAAAAAACAAACAAAGAGAAAGGTAGAAGCAAATATTTACAAAAAGGGTGAAAAGATAAAACAACCAAACTCCCTTTTTCACCTTCCTGCTTGTGTCATAAGCCAAACCTTCCAAACTTTTAATTTTTTTACTACTACCATAGAACGAACAAGAAGCCTCCAGTTTCATACTCCACTCTGTAGATCCTGCCTCTCTCTCTCTACTAATATATGGTTTCTCAAAACTGGCATGAAGTGCCAAGTCTCTGTCTCTTGCTCAACGTTGTGGTCTTGCGTTTTTCAAAAGCCGGTCCAAGTAACTCCTGGAACCTCTCCAAGAACAGAACCCACTCGTCCTCTTTCATGTCTGCTACTTTCACAAAGCTTGCACTCACTTGAAGCTGTTCGTTTGCGCTTTTGTGACCAGACGATGTGTTGTCAGATTTGCCTCTTGTTAAAGGCTTTGTGTTGTTGTTTTTCCTTCCCGTGTCGCTAAGATGTGTGTTCTTCATCGATGTAGAAAGCTTTGAAAGAGATTTAGATTTGTCATGAAAAGCAGCAGAACTAAAAAAACTGTCTTTCATTGTCATCACAGGGACAGCATTTTCAGTAATGTCCTCTCCCTCTTCATCTTCCTCTTCTCCTTCTTCCTTGATGCTTTCTTCAAGCTTTCCTAGTGAAGAACGTCCGTTTGAAAAAGGGTTTCTCGTGAAGTAGTCATCGGTTAGTTGCATCTTGGAGCCGTAAACTGATTCCAACTCATCACAGTCTAGATCAAACTGAAACTCTGCTTCTCCTCCTATCACATCTGACCTTGGAGAGAACACATCACGTTCAGTGACTGATCTTTTAGCTTCAATACACACAACCTCGAGTTCACTCGGCTCCTCTTCTCCACCTCGAAACTCTCGAGTCATCATCTCACCAATCTCCGCAAGACACAGCCCATAAGAAGCAGCTTCTTTAAGGAAAACAGTGCAGAGAACAAGAACACGAAGACAAGCTTCTCTAATCATAGGAAGCTCTCTCCTAAGCATCTCACAATCCTTCAACGGATCAAGCTTCTGAATATAATCAATCTCTTCATCAGAGAAAGGCAATGACGCCTGAGGCCAATGAATCCACTCAAAATAAGGATCCTCAAGAGTCTCCGGCAAGCAAAGACCATGATCAATTGGGATAAGCTCAACCTCACCAAACATCCCAACCTTTTTCACCAAAAGGTTCCCACCATGACGGTCAGTGTTGAAGATCCTCACATCCAATATCCCAATCCGGTGCACTGAAGCTACAGGGAAGCTCGAAGTACCATGATCACTAGCGTCGAAATCATGAGCCACAAACTTCTGGAAAGAAGCAATCTTACTAACAAGCTTCTTCTCCCTAGTCTTGTTCCCTTTCACACCATCGTTAACATTGAAAACATTATGAGTTATCTTCACAAGAGCAGTGGGAGGGACGTTAGCAAAGCGGTTATAGTCAAGAAGATAAGCAGCAACTTCTCTAAACCCTGTTTCACCAACACGTACTGAAGACTTTAACCCAGGCTGTCCAAGAGCTTTCCCAACAAACCCCTTTGGATTGTTAGGTGCAAAGGGCTCTTCATCGGTTGGTTTGACAATAGCAACACTCTGACCCTTCTTGTCCCTAAAGTAGTAAGCCCCTCCAAGCCCGCTATGAACAGCTAACGGCTCAACACCAAGCTTCATGGCCTTGACAATGTCCTTAACCATTTGTTTCACAACAGAAAAACACTCTGATTGTCCCAATATCTCTATAGGACCACTTCTGTCTTTCTGCTGCAGGTCTCTCCCTGTAGGTGAGAGACAAGGAGTGGATGAGCTTCTGTGCATGAAGTTACGTTTCAGGAGAAGAGGAGAATCGTTCCTCACAGCGCTGAGATCGTTAGTAAGAACCATATCTCCGTAAGTCAAAGAACTCTCTTCAGTGGGGAAGTTAAGAGCTATCTGAAGCCTCCTCTTCACTGTATGAACATTATCACTACGGTCCAGCTCCATCCCAAGAACACAACCAGTCTCCGTCTGCACAAAGACTCTTCTCCCTGAGGACTGTCTCTGTAGCTGCTGCTGATGCTGATGATGATGGTGATGCTTCCCTTCCATCTTATTACCCCCAGTGAGGGGAGTCTTGAAAACCGCCACTGCCATTTGTGTCTGCACAGGACTGTCTAGGTTCCGAGACATGAAACGGCAGAAGCAGAAGCTGAAGAGTGACCTTCAAGACTAGTGCCTTTGTCTGAAACCAACACAAACCGGACACAGCAGAAGCAGATAACACCTAAACCGATCATGAAACGTAGACAACCCCCAAGCTTCTTTAGAATCTGATATTAGGAGCCAGTTATCACTTAAAAGTCTCCAGCTTTGAGAATAGAATGTTGATCCAAAATTGCTACATCAGGTAAGAGCCATGTTTTTTTTTTTAATCTGCAAAAAAAAAAAAAAAAACACATCTTTATATGTCATTAATCTATAACAGATCTGTCTAAAAACGATCTCAAATCTCTACACTTTCTACAAAGATTACAACTTTTAAGAACACATCAGTTCAAAGATGAGATCTTGATCTATCTAAGAAAGTTTGTATATAACATAAAGTTTATGTTCAAACAAATGAATGAGCTTTTAATAGCGAACATGACTGTAACCAAACATGTTTTTTTACATATGAAGAAAACTCACAAAAGATCTGAAGAAGAGAGGCGAAACAGTGGCAATAACGAAGACTATGTCAATACAAAGACACCATCATCATCGTCATCTCTGAGAAACAGAGTGAATCTTTTCGAAGAGGCTTCCTTCAATGGAGGCAAGGAATCAGAGAGGAAGCAAAGAATCAAAACTCAGTGAGAAACACTGTGTTTGTGTGTGTTTGGGGCTTGTCTCTTTGCTTGGGGGTTTCAACTCTGTAAAGGAGAACGCTTTTTAACCTTGATCTCTGGTAAGGACTCTGGTTAAATTGCTTAACCATGGTTTGTGTAAATATGTTTAGTAACCTATTTATTAGGGGATTTGATTATCATCAATCTATCTTACTGACACGTCATTATACTATTTTAATCCTCATTATTGATTTACTTAAATTTTCTGACATTTTGTTTTCTTTAGGTCTTTTTTACTTATTTCTTTGTTTTTATTAACCGTTTATTTTTTTTTTCCTAAACCTGTGACAGAATCTAAATTGAAATATGAACAGCTGTGAAACTTATTTCTATATGGTAATTATTGGTTGATTAAGATATATAATCATAATATTGTAAACATTTTCAAAACTTTATTCTGTAATTTTGAAAGTTAAGTAAAATTATTCTGTACACAATTTTCAAGATAACAAATGATGCGAAATAAATAAATAATTATTTGTCTTTATTTTTTTAGTACTCCATGGATCACTCCCTATAGAAAGACGTGCGATCTCACCAATAAAGAGTTGAAAATGAAATTATATTATTCTGAAAAGAATAAGAAAAAGGAGTTAATACGGAAAAATAAGTAATTACATTAGAGAGTCATTAAAGTGAAGGTAAAATAGTAAATAAGAAGATTCATCATCCTCCCCATCTTTTTAGAAGAGTCTAGAAAAGGCATAGAGAGCCGTCCAATTGTAGATTCTTGTCAAATCTTGGCCGTCCGATGTAAGAAGGTATGTGGTAAAGGATGAGAATGCCGACGTGGTAACAGCGACATGGACCTACGAAACTGGGCCTCATAAGTTTCGAGCCTATAATAAACAACATTGCAGTAAAAATTAGGTGCGACTGTGCAAGTAACTAAAAGCAAGTACATATTACAAATTGTATATTGTCAAAGCTTTTGAAACAATCCAAAATGATAAGATTTAACGATTTTCATCTTTGCTTTTAAAACTTCATCAAATTGATTTGAGACTGAAGAATATTTTTACTTTATTTGTATACAGTTAATTAATTAAGATAAACATTGTTTAGGGGGTAAATAACCAACAATAAATTTACATATTTAGCTGGATAATTCTTCATTTGACCAAAAAATCTGAATAATTCTTCAAAAGTTACTTTAAAACAATTAAAGTAATGAAGTAAGAATTAGGTAGTGGCAACTGAAAAGTAATTAACAAGCAAGTTCATATTTTACAAAGGATAACATATGTATACTCTAAATTTGTCATACACTTTTGATATTATCTAACAGAGATATGTTTTTAAGTTTTCACCTTTTTTTTCTGTTAGAAGGCTTTCAGTTCATCTGTGCATTTAACAGATACATCACCAAATACTTGAGATGACTTTTTAAAAATCAGTATTTAAAATTAAAATATGAATTGACTAAAAATAAGATAATATAAAAGATTACAAAAGAATTAACAATGGATTTACATATTTCACCGGATAAGTCTTCAAAAAACAATACCAACTTAATTATGAGTTCCATTAGATCTCATACGAGTAAAGCCATTACAATGACGCTTTCAAGTACATATGAGAGTAACAGTGAATCATAATAATAATAGACAATGAGATTAATCAACTTTGGACATAAAGATCTTGTCTCCATGATGCAACATTCAGCTTTGAACACTTTTGACTATATTAATGATTTTGTATTTTAGAAAAATAACAAAGAGAGATTAAGCATAAATTATAACACATGATCCAAAACCCATGTGCAGTAGTAGTGCCTTCCCATTAACTCAACTCACATATTCATTGGAGATAATTAAAGAATAAAGTAATTCTGTAATACAAAATACAAAACACCACAAAATTATATGAGTATTTTCTTTATGGTAACTATTGATAATCGATGAAGAAGTTCCAAAAATCTATGAAGCAAATCGATGAATATGATTCATTAATCAACTTACACTCTACTGCAATGTTAAATAAAGACATCAGATTGTCACCAGTAGTCACCACAGGAGCATTGTCCATCCTCAAAATGATGGTAACGTATTGGATCTCTTATAACCACACTACGTTTCTCCACCTTTGACGCAAGCTTGAAGAACACATGACAGTCCCCACATATCCTCAGATTCTTTCTGATCCTAATCACTTTCCCTAAAGGCAAAGTTATCAATCCAAAAGCCAAAGCAAGTTTCTCACTGTGATGTCTTAGAGAATCCTCCATCTGTTCTCCTTCAAGATCTTGTAACACAAAGTTCGTCTCAGGAACATAACCTATACCAATCATCCTATCAATCAATTGGTTTAGTTTCTTGTTTACTTCAACTATCATTGGGTGAGATTCATCTCCAATGATGAACGCATGAATCTTTTTGTTTACTTCAATCCAGCTACATCCAGGTTCTTTCTTGATTCCTCTGTCTCTCATCTGTGTCCTGATCTCTTCAACACTATCCCACTTTTGAGAGTTTGCATATATGTTAGACAACACTGTGTAAGTCCCTGCATCATCCGGATCGAGTTCTATGACCTTTTTAGCTGCATATTCAGCTAGCACCATGTTTCCTTGAACCCTACAAGCACCAAGAAGTGTTCTCCAAGTGACAGCATCTGGCTCACACTCCATTTCATTCAACAGCTTCACTGCATCCTCCAGCTTTCCAGCTTTTCCTAACAGATCAATCATGCAACCATAATGTTCCCTCACTGGTTCGATTCCGTAAAGCTTCTTCATCGATCTGAAGTAGTACCAACCATCTTCAAGTAGCCCTGCGTGGCTGCAAGCAAACAGAACACCAACAATGGTAATGTAGTTTGGTTTGGTCCCAGAAGCTTTCATGGACTCAAACAGCTTCAATGCCTCCTGGCTATAACCATTTTGAGCCAGCCCTGAGATCATTGTGCTCCATGTAATCACATCTCTCTCCTTCATCCCGTTGAACACACGGCGAGCATCCTCCAAGCTCCCACACTTGCAATACATGTCCACAAGCGCGTTGTTGAGTATCAAGTCTTGGTCATACTTCACTATATGAACATGAGCTTGCATCCCAAGCTCCAACAGAGTCAAACCAGTACAGGCCCTCAAGACGCTAGTCAACGTAGCCTGCTCAGCAGTGAAGCCAGCTCTCTTCATCCTCTTGAAAAGCTTCATGGCTTCATCATTTTTACTGTTCTGAGCAAACCCACCAATGATGGAGTTCCAAACAATGGCATCACCAGTAACCATCTCATCGAAGACCAAAAGAGAATCCTCAGGCTCACCAAGCTTAGCAAACACATCAATCAAAGCACTCCTAACAAAAACATCAGACTCAAGACCTTCCTTGATAATCCCACAATGAAGCATTCTTACATCAGACATCTCCTTGCAGGATCTCAAAACAGAGGAGTAAGTATACACGTTTGGTCTCACACCTTCTTTTAACATCAAAACCAAAAGCTCCAAAGCCATTTGCTGCTGTTTGCACTTAGAGTAAGCAGAGATCATAGTAGTCCAAGAAACAACGTTTCTCACAGGCATTTTATCGAACACCTTGTGAGCATCAGTCAAATGATTGAATTTTACATACATATTGATTAGAACATTAGCAAGAAAGAGCATTGGCTGATGCCCATTGAAGTATAAGTGACGACGAATGAGATTCCCTTCGTGAACAGCTCTTTGAGACATGCAACATTTGATGAGCTCAGAGTATGTTGCAGAGTCTGCCCAAAGACCATGACTTTGCAATGTATCCATTGCTCTAAGAGCTTTGGGAAGGTCTCTTTGGTAACAGAATCTGGTGAACTCATTGAGAAGATGGGTTTGATTGGTGGAGCTGTAAGAAGAACAATGTGATGTTAGGACAGGTCTAAGGAGTTTGAGCTTTGTCGTTACCGACTTCATCTTGTCCTTGGCTCGGTAACGTTTCTCAGAGGTATTTTGTCGAACACGTTGTGAACATGTCTTTTTTTTTCTCACATTCCACGGCAAATGATGTTTTAGTGAAACGTTTAACTGATTTTATTACAGCAACTGAAATTCAAGTTTGGTCGGAAAAGTTATAACAAAGACACGAAGTTATGCCAGATACATTGAATACTCTCTAAAACTCCAAGATAAACTAATAGAGAGAGAGGCATAATGTTATTTTTGGAAGAAACTCTTTTAGACAGCTTCTGGTTGAGCGAAAGGGTTAGCGATTTCTTCAGTTCCATCAGTTGGTGAAACGAGCATCACTGCAGTTCCACGGCAAACCTAAAACAACACATAGTGGATTACAATCTAATAATGGGTTTACCTATTAAACATCATGACATGAATGCAAGCAACAATGCTCTTATTTGCACAATATATAGTGAAAAAAGAGAGAAAATGGGGTCATACAATTAAACCGAGGCGTCTTGTCTGGTCAGTGGTCTTCAAAGGATCATCATGATCTATTCAAAAAACATCAGACAAGAGTTACTGTCTATGGATCATGCAAATCAACAAGATAACAACAGCTCTAGTTCTAAATATGAAAGAGAGTTAATATGGTGTGCCCTTTTATATATCACAGCAAACATGATTAAGCAGCTAACAATCCTCTTTTCTAGCATACGTGATCAAGATTTATATCACTTTCAGTGGCAAAGATACACATAGAGAAATCTGTGTTCAGGAGCAGAGTAAGGTGAACCAAATGAGGCACATGTAAGACTCATAACAATAAATAACAGTATAAGCATGGAAACCAACAACAGATACTGTATCAATTATACCACCGCAAACATGATTAGGAGATTATAAAGAGTTTCTATGACATAAATACACACACATATACTGTATGCAGGACGAGTAAAGAGAATCAAATCAGATACATACACTCTCTTATTTATTGACTAGTTTTAACTAGCGAAACTGTGGTTAAAACATGGATATACCTACATGACTTAAACTACTCATCTCATGATGTACAGGTACATAAAAAAAAAAGTTAATGGGAAGAAAGAGACACCTCGAACAGCCTCTACAGCCCCATCAAGAACAAGGTTAAGCAACTGATCGTATCCCTTAAGAGTTCCAGTGACTGCACACACAAATTACACAACCATCAAATCTCAATGCAAGAGTAAAAAAATAAAACATTTCACAATCATAAAAAAAAAAACTCATCTCTTCACACCTTGTCTACCACCAGTGAGCTTAACTTGCACACCCTTATCAACAAACTTGGCCAAATCCAACACCGTTTCCTTTCTTCCTGACTGTATAATTAAAAATAAAAAAACAGAGAAAATCAAACAAAGTGAACTGAACAATTATAAAGATCAATGTAAGATAGTTTTACCATTATAGGAGCAGAGTCTTCGTCTAACAAAAATCTGAAAAACAAGGGGAAAATCAAATTGAGTCAGAAGATGATAAAGTGTTATACTTTATGAAGCATTACAACGAAAGTATGAATGGGTCACCGTCAGATTAAGATTAGGGTTTCGCAATTCCAGTTAAAACTAGGGTTACGCTTTACGCTAATCAATGAGCTTCACAAGCAAAACAAGTGTGGTTTTGACTATTGAAGAGACTGATGAAGTAAAAACACTCACCGGAGAAACGAAAGATCTCTGAAGAAAACTTTGGCGGCGAAGAGGGACGATGTTGTTGTTGTAAAGTCAGAGAAAGTCGGAGACTCTATAGTGATGGACTCCGGTTCAAATCTCTTAACCATAATTTTCTTAACCGGATTGGTTATCTCTATAATTAATTATCAGACGTTTTGATTTTATGATCCAGTTTCTTTTGTAACATCAGTTTAATATTTGGCTTAACGATTCTGTATCTCTAACAGATTCCATTCTTTTTTTTGGTTCAGTTCGATTTAGTTATACCTTTTTTGTATATGCAAATTACAAAGACTTGTGTGCTTTCTCATACATATCAGTGTAGATCTCTTGATTGGTTAAGTACATGAGGTATAAGAAAAATTAGATTGTAATCTGCACTTTTAAAGTGAAAGATTATTTTTTGTTGATAAATCTGTTAAACATGTATATCCGTTCACTAATATGTTTAGGTAAATACGTTCGGTTTTTGATTCAGTTCATGTTTTTTTTGTTTGATTTTGGTTTGATTGTATTTTTGATTTAAAAAACTATTAAAAGCATTTGATTATTTACGAATATGGATATTGTTTTAGTTTGGTTAGATTGGTTTTTGGTTTGATTCGGATAATAATATTAGGAATCTGATAAAATTTCGAGTTCACTTTGGTTCCCATCAGTTTTTTACATCCAACACGGCTTGTGGTCGGATTGGAAAATCCGATCATCTGATAAATTATCCGGTATACATATTAAGAAAAATTTACTAACTAAAAAACGTTAAAAACTCTTAAATCCGACAACTCGCATATTGGTTGAACTGAACCAAAGAATAAATTTTATTTAGTTTTTAATATATTTCTAATTAGTTTAGTTTTTCAATTATTAATGTTCTAATGAAATTATGTGCCAGCCTGCTACATATATTATATACCTCTTTAACTTTCTTTTTACATTTTTGCTTATTTGGTTCTTCGTGAGTAATATTTGTTTCTTTTAGATTCTAATTTCTAGCCTATAAAATGTGTTTTTATTCTTTTCGTGAATCACATATTTTTATCTTATTTTCTTGTTTTTACATATTTATAAATAAGTAATATTTTGTTGTATATCAAATTTATTGATCTTATTTAATTTTGTAAAATCATAAACAATATTGATTAAATTATTTTACTGTGATATTTAGATTTTAATGAACATTTCATTACAGAACCTCTATAAATTAATACTCGATAAATTAATAAATTTCATCGGTCCCAACTTGGGCCGGTGTAAAATATGACACAAATCGATGAAATAATAAGATAATAATATTTTTGAAACTGCCATGTAAGTATATGGTCCCATTAAAATCATAAATTAATAATCTAGCTGTATATAATTTTATATAGGTACAATCTAACATTATATTGTTGGTTTTATATTTACTATAAAAATACTTTTATTTTTCTAAATATTTTAATATATTTATAATATTTAGTTAGGGGTTTTATATTTACTATAAAATACACTTTTTTAAAAACATTTCAATATATTTTGATAGTATTTAGTTAAATTATATCGAAAACCATGTAACGATTCTACGAAACATAAAAATATACACAAAATAAGATAATAAAACATTATAAAATTCAAATTTCTAAAATTTAAATAATATACATATGCTAAAAATCAAATATTTTTTATTTTAAAAATAAAATTAGAGAAAATAGAAAAAAAAAATTAAATAAGGAAACTTTTGTAAATTAATATCTCTATAAATTAATAAAATTTCAAAGTCCCAACATTATTACTTTATAGAGGTTTTATTGTACCACCTGACGAAGATATTGTGAACATACAGAAAACCAAATTTAATTAATAAGATTTGGTATTAATATGTTGTTGTTATCGTATACAATTTTGATGTTTACTTTTTGATTTATTTTTATTTAAAATTTAACTTTAATGTTGATATTAGCTATCTAAAACTTATGAGACTGACTCTTGTTATGTTTTATTACATGTTCTAGCTCCTAACTTATTATAAAAAATATTAAAATTTTTTAAAATATTTTCAATACTTTATGAAGTGAAAATATAAATAAAGAGACAGAATCCAAATATTTTTCTAAGAAATTTGAAATCAGTTTTATACTTATAACTATAGCTAATATATAAAATATGTATTAAAATTAAATTAATATATTAACATGGAGTATCGCCCGCAGTCGACCGAATAACCCGGTAATCTGGAAAGTTGTTCAGTCCAATGTTCGGGTTGGGTTTAAAAGCATTGGTCTCCAATCTTAGTCAGTATTTTTTTGGAGATTCTTTAATAGATATGAATGATCGGACTGAAGATTTGAATACCATCAAAAATATTTTCAGGAAATATCATTAATCTAGTCGGTTGAAGATTACATGACATTTTAGATTTAGAATCTAATTTGTTTGAATTATTCTGTTTGAATTTATTGGTAGAGGTTGTTCGGATTACATCCTAAACAGTTTGTTTTAGATTGGTCATGTATCTACCAATGATTTTCAACATATTTCATATTACTAGCTAGTATGGTAACAAATAATTTGACTTTAGTATTTTTGTAGTTATCCAATTACCATTAATTTTGAATATATTTCAAATTACTAGTAAAAGATTTTAAAATATATAGTTTGATTAGACTATTTTTAATATAGTATAAATAATTGTTTTCTAATTATTAAGTTTAATATTTATTTATCATCCTATTTTTAGTTTGGGTTCAATTTTCACAACATACAAATTTACTTTAAAAACATATTCTTATTAGTTACTAGATAAGGAACCCATATAATATACCACGAAAACTCATTTTATAAAAATAAATATGTCATATTTTATAAACTAACATTTTCCCAAAACTATTTATATTTATTTCTAAGGAAACACATATGTTACAAAATTTATCTTTCAAGCAATTTCGTTAAAAAATAGGTCTTGTTAGAATTTTGAGGTAAAATATATTAACTTAATATGCTATATAACTTTTTATATCCTCCAGTTTTTTTTTCTATTGGTTTTAAATAGATAATGGTGTTTTTATTTAGAAAATATACAAAATTAAATATTTTTAATCTGTCTACATAAATCTAGATTGTTAATTAAAATAACAGAAAGAAAGTATACAACTTTATCGATAATACCAAAAATTTATATTCTGTTTATAGGTCTGGTTGTAATAAAATTATAAATATGTCAATACCAAATAAGATATATGTTTTACTATCTATTTAACTAAATTATTTAAAAATCTCGAAAACAGTTGAATATTTGAAACTAGGTATAAAGCAAACACATTTCAATCTAATCATTTACTAAATTAGTAAGGTAAGTTATAACGACAAGTCGAATATTCAAATTTGTTTGAAACTATGTAAAACATGTGTGGTCGAAAACGTGATTATATGATAATTTTGAGATATCTTAGCATACCACCCACACATTTTTCTTTTTTTATTCATCATTTGGATCTTCCATAAAGGAAAGTCTTTCCAAAAATTATTTGTTTACAAATTAAGAAGCAGATTTTGGCATAACATACATAATTAAAGTTATCAAAAGATTTAACAATCTATAGTATTTGTTGTTAAGTAGAACAACAATAAACATGTAAATTAACAAAGACAGTAGATTGTAAATCGATGATAATTCTCTTTTAGCAGAATACCTTTTAATCAAAATAAATATTGTTAGGGTATGAGGTAAGAGTAAAGTAACTTTCTTCAAGATGATTTATTGCAGATTTTGTTAATATGATGCGTAAATGTATGGACAACCATTAAGCATTGAGTTCAACATCCAATTTAATCTTGAGTGGTTTCTCACTTGGTTCATGGAGCTAATCAAGATTCTTGAGATACATGGAGCTAAACATCCGGTAAGAACCTAGCTGAAACTCAATGTTGTTGGGTTTTTTTTTTTATTACTCTTGCTGTAAAAGCCACTGAAAGATATTTTTACTCATTATTGTTGACATATTTTAATACTTTTAGATGGCCCCAATACCTGGAAGACTACTCGTGAAGTTCCTGAATATGAAATAAATCATTGTGAGCTTGATTTCACAAGAATTAAAAAGATAACAACCTTAAAGAATATGTCCTTGTCTTTAAAACATATCCTTTACTGACTGTGAGAAGTATGTGTTCACACCTTGTCTATCCACAATCCACTTCAGCCCTCTTACCATCTCAGGAATGGCACGTTACATCTCCCACTTCTCATTGAACATTTCTTATGCTTTCACTTCTTATGCTCTGAGGAACCAAATGATTATATTAGAGATGGAACTTATACGGCCTCCTCTGCTAACTGATTTTCCCAATAACTTTTACCCCTTGCCGCCGTCAAGTCTATAAACACTGGAGGTATTTATTTTTTCTCTGTTTCCAAGTTTTCTCCGAATCCTCAGTTTATCTTATGATTAGTTAAAAACTTTATGAATACTGAATATAGAATGAATCACATATGTTAATAGTGTTTTAGTTCTTATTTGCTTAAAGTATGGTATTGTTCTTCTCTTTGTTATTTGACAGAATCTCTAAAGAGGCTAATGATATTGCTTTTAACCTTAACAGCATATATGAAGCACTTGCTGTCTTGGGTTTAGTTAACTACGAGGATGAGCCAAACATGATTTCACCAGTTTATACTTTAAGAAAATGATTAAGATACATTAATCCACAACTCTGGTCTCCATAGAAGTTCAGCGCCTTGGAACGGACTTCTCTTCAACCCCTGGTGCGTTTGATTGTTTTTTTTTTTGTTATTATCGTTTTTGATATTTATGGTATGTTAATTTGACATGAATACGTTTTGTTTAACACCTGCTCTTCACCTACAAAAGGTTAGCCCTATTCTCAGTTTATGTTTTACTTCTTCGCAATAATTTTTCTACTTCACAGTTATTTAATTGCTTATAGATTCATATCATAACTGGATGATGAATTAATGTGTTAATGTATTAGCAATTTCATAATGTTCTATCACAGATTCATGGTATCTCGGTCCAACAGACAATCATTTAGAACAACAGAAAATCAGCCATATTTAAGTATGAGTTTGTATATCCAAACGTTTATGTTCTTCCCTCAGTTTCATCTGATTTTTGTTAGATGTTTTTTTTATGTATGTGGCTAAGTAAATTTATGTGATGTATCTTCCTTTTTGTTAAATTCTGATTCAAAATACGGATCTAGATTTTTTGAGAATCACATAATTACGAGAAGTGGAGAGATGCGGGTATATTGGTGTTCAATGGTCATTAATTAGTGTATTTAAGAAAACTATTGTTGGGTTAAGCTTCTTTCTTTTCTAAAAAACTGTCTTTTCACCAGCCTGGTTATGTTTGATTCCATGACCAAGCTTGGATTGTTACTGCAGAGGTGGTTATTTCCAAGAAGGAGCAAAAGTAAGAATGAGGATGAAGGGAGAGAGAGCATGCATACTGATAAGCTGAATGTTATTTTATTTTATGATTCCAATTATGAATCAACACCAAGATCTAATTTAGATTTGCCTTAATTCAATCCTAACATGTTTCTAGAGAAAAGTAGAAACACTAACCTTGATCCATGCTTGGATGCAATCCCACCAATTGATGTTTTCCCCTTTAACCTTCTCTTTGGTGATTTCCTTGATGGACAAGAAATCCCAAAACCTTTAATCTCTCCCTTTGATAATCAGTATTATTGATATATGTTTTTCTTTTAGAAAGACTATTTTCTTCTATATACAAAAATGATGTACGGTCTCTATTTTATATTGATCAAAGAGACATGTGTTAAGCAACACAACTCTCCGAGACAGCACTTCAATACATCATTTCAGTATAGTCATATAATATTAATCATGTGGTAATATATTCCTTTCATTATTACCACGTACAAATATGTATATGATAAAAGAGATTAAAGACAGTTATAAGTAGAAGGTAAAGTAGGAAGGTTATCAATACACCCAAATTCTAAATCATTAATCAAAACCGATCCATCACGGTATTGTCTTTTATATTAGAATCTATAAATATTAATATGAACTTGAACTTTATATTAAACCAATAGACATATAGGTCACATAGAATATAAAATATTCTTACACTGAAGACCATTGTGAAATGGATACGAGAAAAGGTTGATTCAAGCAAAACACAAGTCTTCTTTTATAGAACAAAAAAAGTCTTATTTTGTACAATTTCTCCCGTGCATTTCTGGATAGAGATGCCTCAGATCATCTTGGATTATGCCTTTCTTCTTGAGGAAAATAACTATTTTCAAAGATGCTTTCAAAGTGTACAAAAGAGGCATCAAGAAATTCAAGTATTCTCATGTGAAAGACATATGGGTAACTTATCTTACAACTTGTGGTTGATGTAGGGAAGACAAAGCTGAAGCGAGCGAGAGTATGTTTGAGTATAATGTTTCAATGGTAATCTAATCAATCTTTTGTACACATTCTTTCTGGTCAAACGGTTATTTTGTGTAGTCTATCGATTTGTGCTTGACCTCACTTCTCTTATTTTTCATGGCACCAATGTATGGTCCACAGTTACATCAAAATATGGTGGAAGGCAACTCGGGTTTGTGAGTGCAGGACTCATCCCAAAGTCAGGTGAGAATGAGGGGAAACCAGTGACAGGGAAAAGGGAATATATTAGTCGTGCTAAAGATTGGAATTTTAGTATCCAGAACATGTTCCTATTATTGTCATGAAAAATTCTATCCTTCTAGGTATTCAAATAATAGCCAAGGAACTAACGGAAAACAAAGACTTAAAAATGTAACAAAGAGAAGTAGAATGAAAGAACCACACAAGAGAAGAAAATCAGTTGATAAGCAGGCAGCTTCTTTCAGTGAAAATGAAACCCGTATGAACAGAATTGATCACATATTCAGTTGTGATGAACAAGCAGATGAACAAGCAGCTTCTTTCAAACATTTATTGAACATTAAAAACCAATCCTAAATTATATAAAGTTTATAGAACAATTATTCTAATTAACCATGTACCATATATATTTTAAAAACTAAGCAAAATAATACATGAAATTTAGTACTTAGAGCAACATTATCGGTGGTCCATAAGTTGAGTCCCTTAGAACACCTCCATTGGAGGATTTTGTATGGGGTTCACTCCTTCCCAAGGAGAAAAAATAATTTTTCTGAACCTGGGTCGTCGGTAAGGGGCGGTTCATGGACTGTAGCGCGGGCCCCATGACACGTGGCGGCCCGCCATTGGTCCTTTTTTTTTTAGAAAAAGTAAAAAAAAATAAAAAAAAATAAAAAAAAAATAAAAAATCCACCTGTCGAACTCTACCCCAGTTTTACTAATGCAGATGCCCTTAGCTTTTAACTAAAACGCTAAAGGATATCCCGTAATTAAAGTCTCTTATTTAAGAGACTTTCCGCTAAGAGATATTCCGCTAAGAGACTCAATTTAGGGACCACCAATAATTATGCTCTTAGTACTCGCGTCAACATCATCAATAATACGTGAGAAAAAAAACTTCCATAACAACTCGTTTTTGGGGATCAAAACAATGAAATATCAGACAATAAATTTTAATATGTTGAACCCTAGAAAAACATAGTATAGTATTAAATACGCGAGATGAGATCTTCAATAAAAGGGAAAACATTGCATTATTAAGGGAAACATGCATGCAGACAAAGACACAAGTTTAAGACACAACAAGAAACATGACCAAAGCTTGAACAAAACAACAAAAACCAGAAATATGAAACGAACATGCAAGACACAACATTAACAACTTTATTTCAAGACATTAATTTTATTATTCGACGGCTGCTTCATTAGGCAACGTCCGCACCACCAGATTTGCTGCTCTCTCCTTGATAGGTCTCCATGTCCTCATCGTCAACATTTGCATATGATCGCTTTCGAGAGTGGTCTAGTTTCTCCTTCATCTTCTCGGTTTGGGCCTTGAGGTATGACTCTTGATCCTCCGTATTCATGTTCCTCTCGATTTCCGGTAATGCGCAATAGCTTTCGATGAGAGAATTAGCCTTCTCCAGAGATGGCCACGCCACAAACTTCTCGGCGCCATCACGTCTGTAAAAGACCAAACAAGCACTCGCATTGCACAAGCTGGTTATTTCATTAAGCTTTTCCACCAATCTTTTTATCCTCCTCTGGTAAGCAGCAGATTGTCTTGCCTTTCGATCTTCGACCCAAGCAAGCTTCAGGTTTGATCTTCCCGTGCATAACTTTTAATTCCGTTTTGACCTCCGTTCCTCTTGAATTCCATAGCTTCAGGTTTGACCTCCGTTCCTCTTGAATTCGTCGCTTTTAGTTATATCTTTTATTTGTGATGTTGAACTATTGACATGCAATTTTAATCTTATATAGATAGTTGAGAGGAAGAGATAAGTACAGAAAATGGACTATTTTGGTCATGTATCTTATTTCATATAACTAGTATGGTAAAATATAATTTGAGTGTACTATAATGGTAACTAATCTAATCTATCATATAAAAACAGAAGTAACAATTTAATTTCATGTGTGAATTTTTAGTTGAACCTCCTTATAAACATGTATAAATATATTTTCTCAACATTAATAATATAAATTTTGTAACTACTTTAATCATAATATTTTAATATAAATTTTGTAACTACTTTAATCATAATATCTTTTGGTATTTTCATTTAAATATAAATATATAATTTTAAAAAATTCTAACAGATTTTGTAAAAAATATTTTAACAAGATCTTAATTTCAAGAACTTTATACAAATATTATCAATAATATCGTAATTAATAATAAATATTATTATAGATTAAGATATAATTAGTTATTGTTTATAAAAATGAAAAATTAGAATTATATTTATATTTTCTTTGTTTTATAATCATAACTAATCATATAGAAATAACTATTATACCAAACTAAATAGGATAAAAAAGTAATCTAAAGCTTTAAAGTGCACGTAAGAATTTAGAATACATTAAATATAACTGTATTTTTTAAATTTATTGTTTCATTCATATATTAATCTGCTTAATACATAAATACAAATCTAATAAGATAATATATAGTAAAAATGACAAATATATGTGACGGTTATATAAACATTTAAACATATAATTAAGGTTAAAAATATATATATGTAAAACATTTATCTATATATAAATGAAATTTAACATCCGCACGGTTTTGCGGGTCAAAATCTAGTTACAATTATAACTAGTATGGTAAACAATTATAACTAGTATGGTAAAATATTATTTTGAGTATATTTCAAATTATTAGTCAAAGATATAAAAATAGTTTGACGCGACTATTTTGGTAAAATGTTATATATCACTGTCGTTCTAATAATTAAGTTTAATTTTTATTTATTATCATACTTTCGTTTATGTTCAATTTTCATAACACGTAAATTTACTTTAAAATAACATATTTTTATTAGTTATCTTTAGGTAGGGAACTCATGCAATATCGCATGAGAAATCCTTTTATGAAAAAAATATGTCAGATTTTATAAATTTGGCCTTTTCCAAATCTGTTTATAATTCTTTCTGAGGAAATCATGCGTTACAAAATTATCTTTCAGGCAAATTCTTTTTAAAATAAGTGTCGTTTTAGAAATTAAATAGAATATTTATTTAATTTATATGATATATAACTTTTTATATCTTCCAATTTATTTTTTGTTGGTTAAAATATGTTTACGTGCATAGGTGATGATATTTTTATTTGAAAATATACAAAATTAATTTTTTTAATATGTGTACACAAAAACGACAATTAAAATGAAACAGAAAGAATACACTACTTTACTGATAATAGTAAATATCTATATTTGTTTTTATAACTTTAGGTTGTAATAAATTATAAATATGTCAATACCAAATAAGATATATGTTTTATTACCGATTAACTAAATTATTTAAAAATCTCGAAACAACTGAATATTTGAAATAGTTAAAAAGCAAACACATTCCAATCTAATCATTTAAAGGTAACTTACGACAAGTTGAATAGTCAAATTTGTTTGAAAAAACTATGTAAGACGTGATCGAAAACATGATTATTTGGTAATTTTAAGATATATGATTCCTTAACATATTTTTCTTAGTATATCACCTACACAATTTTCTTTTCTAATTTATTATTTGGATCTTCTATAAAGGAAAGTTTTTCCAAAAAAAAATTTCTTACAAATTAAGAAACAGATTTTGGGATAACATACATAATTTAAAGGATCTTACATTATTTGTCCTTCCCAAGTACCATCACACAATACATCATGAACTTGTAATTTCAAGGACAGTGTTATGAGTTTTTAAGTGAACATTCATCGAACTCAACTACTTCAAAAATAATAAGAATAAGATATTTCAAAATTGTATATGATGATTCAACTCTAATTTCATTACCACGTAATAAGTAATTAAAACCATATCTATGAATTCATTTTCCCAATAATTTTTTTTTAACTTTGAGTGTAAATGAAATTATAATAATGATATTAACGAAAGTGTTATAGAATTTTGAATTTATAAAAATTGTTCCACTACCATGGCCATATAAAAGCTCGTCAATGCTTATTCCCGAACTGTATTTATAAACTCAATGAAAATGAATATTTCCTCCATTTCAAAATATTTGTTATTTTATATTTAATTTTTTTTGTCATAAATTAAATGTCGTTTTAGAGTTTTGAGGCAAAATTTATTAGTTTTATATAATATTATATTTTTATATTGGTTAAAAATAATTAGGTGTATAAATAATTGTGTTTTTATCTTGAAAATATGTAAAATTAAATGTTTCATTAATCTGTATGCAAAAATCTAGAATAAAAATTAAAATGAAACGGAGAGAATATGATGTACTGCAGATTTCGTTACTATGATGCTTAATTTTGTGGGACAACCAATTAACCATTGACCTTTTTGTTTGATAGTTTTTGGTTTGCATGATATCTTTATTGAATCATAAATACTTTGAATTTTGATTTAAAAATATTTGAATAAATTATAAACAATAAAAGAAATGAGATACATATTAGATAGAAAGAAAAATACAAACTCATAGACAATATATCCCTGGTGGAGGTCAGTATGGTGCTAGGCGAGTGGTGTCAGCTAATCTGTAATTTGAAGAATAATCATATTGATCTGAACTTATACATATTTTGACGTACTCAAATATTTAGGTTTATAAGAAAAGTATATTAAGAAAAGAACCTAAATAGTGAGAGTACATATATCCCCATAAAATACGATTCTCAGAATATTAAATAAACAATAATAACAATAATTTTTAAATGCAAAAAAAAAATAACATATGGAAATCCTAAAATGTGAAATACTGAACATATGTTTTAGGAGTATTTTAATTTATGATTTTTAATAATCTGCATGAGATACTATAGATGAAAACTGTGTTGGCTTTTCTGTTGAACAAAGTAAAAAGAAGAAAAATATAATCATTTAAATCTTGACTGATTTTGTCGCTATATTCAATAACTTTTATTGACGTTTTACTATAATCACAAAAATGATGTAAAAATACTGTTTTATGACATTTTAAAATCTCTCAAATAATAAAAATTGATTCTTTTAGTGTTCCTGATTTGGGCCATTTTATGGACGTTTTACTATAATCACAAAAAATGATGTAAAAATACTGTTTTATGACGTTTTAAAATCTCTCAAATAATAAAAATTGATTCTTTTAGTGTTCCTGATTTGGTCCATTTTATGGATAAATCTTCATAAAATCATGAATTGTGCATAAGGTATTTCGTAGTGCGGATATGCATGTGCCATCATTGACGACAATATTAGAGAAAACAGTTTTAAACCTTCCGATTTAAGAGCGGAGTGACTCTTTTTCTTTTTGGGACGATACATGTTCATAGATCAGTGTCAGAAATTTCTTTCTCTATAAACATATAATGATGCTTTATAAACACAATCGCAAGCTGGTTGAAGTAACCAACCAGGAGAACCAATTGAGAGCCGTCCCTGCCAAATTTTCAACAAAAAGTGGCCAGTAGCAGGTGTCCATTCTCCATCGTTGAAGTGAGTTCACCCCATAGTGATGCAGAAGACAGTCATGTGAGCTCGGGTGACTGTTTTCCATTGTACAAGGAAATCTTGAGAGTGATGTTTGGAATAGGGATTCTGGTGATGTGATACCTCTGTATTTCTATTGTGAACAAATGCAAATAAACTTGAAGAAGAAACAAAGAGAGCAAAACGATTGAGGCAAATACCCGTTTTAGGATTTGTATATTATTGTGTGAATAAATAATTTTACAATCCCTTAGACTCATATTAATAGTTACCTCAAAATTTGATTTCTTTTTTTCTTATTGGAATACATACTTATCTATAAAAAGTAAATTTTCCTAAATCGAAAAGACATACTGTACCGAGATTTAAGACACATCCAGATGTAACAGTTGCACAGAGATTTAAGACACATCCGGATATAACAGTTTCTTCTATGGCTTTGTCTACTTCAGGGGCCGAGCTGGTGGCTTGATGGAACTAGGATTACATTGTTCGAAGTTCGGCTTTCTGCCATGTGCTATCATGATGATCTACACGTTGAAGCCAAGCCAAACAGAAGAACATATTAGATATCCCACATCGGGTATTAATATGGTCCTTGGGCAATATATATGTGTATGGGCAATCCTCCACTCTTGAGTTAGTTTTTGGGTGTGAGTTAGGCCATCACTAATATGGTATCAGAGCCAGGTTTGGCCCAGCATTATGATTTCCCACATAAACAGTTTCCTACCTATGTAGCCTGTAAAAGTGGTCCATATGCTGTGGTATTTCCGAGATGTTGGGCTTGGGCTGTTTCCCTATGGACCGTTTCCCACCCACATCTCGAGAGGGGCTATTAGATATCCCACATCGGGTATTAATATGGTCCTTGGGCAATATATATGTGTATGGGCAATCCCCCACTCTTGAGCTAGCTTTTGGGTGTGAGTTAGACCCATACAGATCATAAGTTTCTGGTACATAGGCTAATAAGGCTTCCATATATCAACAGTTGTAGTTGTTGGTGGCTCTGCCTTTTGAAATAGTGGAAGTCCGTATGTGCCGAACTATCCAGGCTGCTAGACATCCAGATTTTCTTCTGAGTTAAGAAGTGGATCATGGGTAAACGTTGTGTCGTCCGGGTTAAGTTGTTGCAATCCGTCATGGGGATTGTTAACGTTCGAGTTGTTTCGTGTAGCGACAGTTCTTTAGACAAATAGTCCACAATAACATCTCATCTCAGGCAAGGTCTTCTTTCAACATCAACCCACATGTGTTTTAAGTTTTTGTATTGTCTATGTCGCCTTTTTCTCTCATTCCCATTTCTGTATCTTTCGAAACAATGTCCCTTTTGGGAAGTGGAGATGATCGAAATGAACAAGTTAAAAAAAAAAAAGAATTAAGGTTTTGTAGCTTGTAATTTTAGGAAATACATGTAACATAAAAATCCAAAATATATATATATATATATATATATATATATATATTTCAGTCCTCTTATCTTACGTCAAATCATCAAGTAGTTAGTCCAGTTAAAAATGGAAGTCAAATTAAACACCGTTCGCAATACATAAAAAAAATACAACCAAACCAGCCATCATGTTACAGTGCGTGAAACGAAGAGCAGATAAGCTCAAACCCCAAACCAGAGACTTAGGGTTTTGTTTAATTCTTGTCGGCCATTATCATAATATAAAAAGAATTAACACGAACATATTCCCTTAATTACAATAATATCGCCAAAACTTCTTGTACCAACCACTTATAGCCATCCTAACTTATCTTAATTAATTGATCAATCTAGCTTAAATTAATAGTTGTATTGAAAAAAAAAAAATATCATGGACGTAGAGACTTGTTGTGAACTGGCCGTCTTCTTCTAAACCTTGGATAATCCATCGATAGATATTTCGATAGAGCTTTCTCCTCTTCTTCTTCACCTAATCTCTTCTCTTCATTCTCAGATTTTCCTAAAATTAAATACATACAAGATTCAGTTAGTTCGAATATTTTGAAGAGATGCCTATTTTTTCTTTTATATTCTTGCTAAGAAAAAAAAAATCTGAAAGAAGAGAAAAACAATATTGATAACTTAACATTTATACTGACATAGTCAATGATTCACATGTTTGACTTATATATGTACAGATGTATGATTAATTTATTTGCGAAAAAGCTTTTATCATTTCCAAATGATTGACTTACCAGAAGAAGAAGAAGTGACTCGAGGTTGTTCGCTTGAACCTTCATGAGTACCTGACTTCATCACCTATTATTTTGCAAAAAATGGTAATTAGAGGACGCACGTATAAGATCTGATTAGAAACTTCCATATATAAACAAATATACCCAATGATCTCTTACATTTTTATGTTCACTAGAGATCATCATGAGTTTCCTTGGCGCCATTTTAATAACAATATTTTCGCTTACACCTGTTGTATCATTGTAACTCAAGTTAAGTTAAACAATCCCTTACAAACCTCGACCATCCTTTAATATTCAAAATTTTGTGGTTTTATATAAAAAAAAAAACTTAGTTACCTTGGCTAGGAGATGAGTAACCAGAGTGGAGTTGTAGAGAAGATGTTGAAGTAATAAGCAATAAAAAAGCTAATGCACAAAGCAAGAAGGTGAATCTAGTTAGCTTCATTGTCTTAAGTGATTTTGGCAATGAGATATTTTCTGTTTGTGCTATCTTTCTTTTTGTTCTTCTTCTCTTCTTTTATATCAACGAAAAGCGAACTAAAACGCACATATATATATGAATATATCTAATATATTCTTTAAGGATATAAAATCTATATAATATGTTAATGTATGTCTGTGAGATAGAGAGTGCACGAAACACAAAAGTGAGAGTTCCAAAACAAGTTGAAGAAACTATTTATTAAAAATATCGAAAAAGTTTGTTATGAAAAGGTTTAAAAAGGGGTTCACGCCATTGAGGCTCGTTCTCGGGCTTGTCTGTATTGAGACAAACACAAGTTTGGCCATCACACTTCAGCAAACCAATTTTGTCGAGATTTTGCTTTTCTGTCTTTTTGTCTCTTTTCTCTTACATATCCCACACGTTCCATATCTAACTATCTACCATTGTCCATTTACTTTTTTCTTCATATATTTTAGTATCATCTTATACAAGATATATGTAAATCGTGAGCATCGTTTGCTCATAGCCATCCAATTGTTATAAGTTGAAAAATCATGAATGTTAACAATATTAAATCAAACATTAACATGAACTTCTATAAGAACATTAAAATGTGTATGTGTTCTTTGAAACAAAGGGTTTGCTATATGTATATATATTCATTAAGTCTAGAGTGTGTAATACAGAGTTTGAATACCAAACTAAATTAATATTTTTTTTAATTATTTGGAGGTTCTGGGAATAAAATCCTAATCTTTCAGGTCTAGGATCCAGCGGACTCTGATACTATGGAACAAGATCTATGGCATAAATTATTCTTCCCATAGTGGATCAAACCCAAGAACGTAATAGTACCAACGCCCATGATCGGTCCTGAGATTTTAGGGATATGTGCCGATTTTTATGTAAACAAAATTTTTAAAGGTCTAAAAAACTAGTTTTGGAAACCTATACTCATGTAATTTTCTTCAAAAAATTTTGGAGGCCTAAAACGAATATTTCACTAAGTATGCTCCAGGGCCTGCTATGCCAACGCCTTAAACCAGCTGAACTACCACATCCGTGGTAACTAAATTAATGTCTTGCTAGCTAGTACAATTTTCTACAAATCCAGCATATTGTGTGTGTATGTAAATATATTAGAATAGAAAAATAAGTTTATATTTTTTATGTAAAATTTTCTTAATTTTTAAAAGTTAATACCTCGTTCAACTATTTGGATTGAAGTTACTGACATATGGTTTATATACGTAATACGGAATATTAATCTATGCGTGCTTCTCTTTGCGAGTAGGTTTATAAACAACGTTGTTGAGCGTATCACATCATATTTGCAAAAACTCTTTGGTTGTTGTCACACGTTTTGACATTGTACGCCTAAGTTGCTTACTTAAAAGCACTACCCAAATGAAGTTAAGATGAGCACATCGTTTTCTAGTTTGTTACAAAACACCTTTGGTAACATCATTGATCTGCTCACGTTATGAAAGCGTTTCAATACAAAACACTAGTCAATTATATGGAATGTGTTTCGACTAATAGCTTGTAAAATCAATTTGGCCTTGACCGTACCAGATCACGTTTTTTATGTTTTGAGAAAACAAAAAAGAATCAAATATCAGATACGCTCGTATTTTAATATGGACTAAAATAAATCATAGCTAGAACAACAGGCCACGTAAAACCTGTTTAAGTTTTTTTTTGTTTTCGATTTTTGATTTAACAAATGAGCTGGCTAGCATGACTACCTACAAAGTTGAGCTTGTATTTTTATAATGTTAAGATTAGATTGGCATTATATTCCATCATGACATCTGTAATCACAATCATTGACCTCGTGCAAATATTATACCATCATCAATAACTTGACCAACGGGTGAATGACCCACTAATTCAAATTCTGCTAAATAAACAACAATTTAGATCTTGAAAAGGTGATCACCAAAGATAGGTCGATGACTAGTATATCAAACAAATGGAGTATTATAACGAATTAACGTAATAAGAAAAATACTTACATTTTCAAGACATTAATGGTTGGTATGTCATCACAATATAATGGTCTTAAAATCGCCGAGAATCGAGAAAAATGTATTGAAAACATTAAATACAGATTGACCCAAGTCGCTGATACGTTTTGACCAAAGACCTCTGCAACAGGTTGTAATACTTTTCTTTTAAATAAATCACTCAAGCACCAAACTTAAACAAAAAGCATGTACACATACATGAATGAAGATGAAGTTATAATAAACTCATCGGTTACATAACACCGACCATGTTGCATCTTTAACCAATCTCAAAAGCCCCTAGCTGTTAATACTACTACCAAAATGCCATTTACACACACCATGGCATCAACTATAAACCACCCAAAAAAGAGAAAAAAATATTTACTTCATAATTAAAATATAAAAAAAAAACATTCCTTTTTTTAAAGAAAAATATTGTAAAATGTCATATCTCCTTGAGCTTCAAAGTGAACTAGTTGATTAAGAGGATCTACAGCAAAGAAGAATCTGTTTCCATCCTTTGTGTCTTCTCTTCTCAGGTTTGGCCATTCTTACAGGACTACTGTTCCATTCTGACTGTAATCTGCACACAAAAAAACCATCAAATTTCAGACAAAGATTTCTCTTTGGAAGTTGCATCAAAGTCATTAATGAGTCATATATTATTTACACTGGGAAAGCAAAGGATCTTCCACTTGTTGTGCTTGCATCAGAACGAACAGAGAGGCTTCCGGAGTATGCAATAGGTCCTGTGTACGTTATATGACTTGAGATTGAAACTGCATCTGCTGCTGAGAAACTTGTCTCTCCAAATCCACCTGAGGTAAGTTTGTTGTCTTCCAAAGAATCTCCCACTAACAAGTCTGGTTGCTGATTGTTGTTGAAACTTTTGGTTGGTTCTTGAGAGGTTGTTGTAGAAACAGAGGAAAGCTTCTCCTCTGCTTCTTTTGGCTCATGTCTTTCCTTCTCCTGCAAGTAAACACACATCAGCAAGTTAGAAACTTATATATTGAAAAAACTGAAACTTTAATCAATGAAATGTATATTGCCTGAAGCTGAGGTGGAGATTGTTCTTCAAGTCTATCACAATTGTTGTTATTGCTAAGAGGTTTTGGTTCATCTTCCCATGAAAGAATATCTCCCAAAGTTTTAGATTCCTTTAGACCATTCTCCAATGTAGCCACTTCAATCTCATTAGAAATTTCAGATGTGAGTGAGTCCTTGGCCTCTCTTGTCACAATCAAATGATCTTGATTACAATGGCTAGAACCTTCAGCATCAGCAAAGTCTTCTCTTGGAGATTCTTCAACATCTATGTTTGTCTTAGGATCATTACAAAGCTCAGAATCAACATCAACCTTACCGTTTCTGTCTTCTAAGGACTTAGTTTCTGTTTCTTTGTCTGCTTTCATCAAATCCTCTGACTCACATTGGTTTGAATCTAAGCTACATTTCACAGAACCTTTCTCACCGAACAAGAACTTCTCCTGGACCGGCACGCCTTCATCAACACAAATGTCCTTCACTACATGATAAGTGCCCTCCTTGCAGCAAACTACTATCTCAGGCAAGTCGCAAGCCGTTACATTCTTGTCCATATAAAACACCGGATCCACTGTCTCTGGAGCACAACTTTTAGCATCAATATTATCAACTCCTAGTTTCTTTCCAGCCTCACAAGAATGGTTGTTTCCATCATTATCTTTATCCAATTCTTCTCCCGTTCTAGTATCATAGAACAACTCACACACATTGTTATCGTTCTTCCCATTTTCAGGGATCTTTAGCTCTGCATCTTCACACTTCTCTTCAGGACATTGCTGAGTTTTAGACTCATCTTTGCAGCTCTCTACCGAGTTTTCAACCACATGATCATTATCTGAAAATTGAAAACACCCTTGATCTAAAAACATCTTAAAAGCTACAAAGCAGTCAATAATTCAATAACTAAAAAATATATAAAAGCTTAAGACGTTTTTTTTTAACCTGCTCTCATCGTTTTAAGAGAGTACACAAGAGCTATATCTTCAAGCACCAGTCAAAAACCAATCTACATGTCCAAGGGAAAAATATATATCAAGCAGTTTAATAGAAAAAAAAGGAAACATAGAACAACAATGAGGTTGCAAAGAGAAGATAAGTATAAGGAAACTTCATTCTAGAGTATGGAATCCATGAAAGTTAAACTAATATATCTATCTGTTTCACTCAAAGATTAGATACAGACGCAACCTCCATATGACTTAGATACAATAGTTGTTCAACGGAAGTAAAGGGACAGGAAGATTGTGACAGAAACAAAACCAAGCTTTGAGGAGAAACTATTCTATGGATACATACACACATGTGAAAGATTCTTTTTATTTTTCTTTCCACAAGTCCAAAGAAAAATCATCATGAGGTCTAAGCAAACAGATAATAAAACAGCAAAAAAGATGCAATCATCCACTACCATGACTACTTTCCCAACTTTTTTCAAATGTGGAGAAAAAGACATTTAGATAAAAGCTGTAACGCCAATAATATACCAACCAAGAAAGTTTCAAAACATAACCTTATTCTGTGGATTACTTGCACCAATTGCAATAAGATTTTATAACAGTCAATTATATAGCTTCTATTAGTGTGGCAAAATAAAAATAGAAAAAAAAACTACAGAGAATAAGGAATTCAAAGAAAAAATGTAAAATAGACAAAAAAGGATAAAGCTTTAAACTTTTTTTTCCAAAACTTTTGTTCAAAACAATCAGTCAGTCTCATTTTTTCACAGGAATATCAATAAACAATTGGAATTTGCAGGACAGAAGAATCTAGAACTCAGAATCCCAGAAAAAAAGTCTCTATTAGCCTAATAATAAAAAACAAAAGGGTATGTCAAACTAGTGGAATACATACAGATCTAATAACTAGAATCCAGATGAAAAAAGCCTTAACAAGAATCAAAGACTAAAACTTTTTAAGAAGAATCTTAGAAGTAGATAACTACAAAAACAAATAAAAAAACATACTTGATCAGCAGATACAGAGAGACTCAACCTTCTTCAGCCATTAACTTTAACCTAAGCTTGACAAGAAAAAAAAATGAAAAAAAAATACAAAACCATGGATCAAAACCTCAACTAGGTTTGAAGAAGACAACCTCGGATCACTTGTAAGAAAAAAAAAATCCAAACCTTTGGATAAGAAAAGCCACTTACTTTTGAAGCTGTTCAAAAATCACTGTCTCTGCTATTAATTTGAGAAGCACAGAGAGACACAGAGATATAACCAAAAGAGTAGAAACAATCTCTCTTTCTTCTTTATTGCAATTTGGTTTTCGCATTAAATTACAAACATTTAATGCCACCATTTTTTTTAGAAGTGGTGATAATACAAATTTTATTTATTTTTAAGGTGTTAATGACGCAAAAAAAAAAAACAGAATTATTTGTAGGATTAAGAAACTACACTTACCAATACTCTCAAAATCTCTTCACTTTCCTGCGAAAAATGAAAACTTTCTCAGAAACCATGAGATCATCAACAGATATCGTTTGAAATACCCTTTTTGATCTCTTTACTCTCTGTTTTCTAGTGTGTTTGAACTAAAAACTGGAAAGATGAAAACTTTATTTTCTCGGAGAAAGTGAAAAAGATTTGATTTTTTAATGTAATTTCCTGGAAAATAGAAAGAGGCGCTTCAAAAAGGGAGGAAACAAATAAAAAGCTTTGGAGAAATCGGATCTGCGAAACTGCACGAGAGAGTATTTATCTCTCGTGGATTTGACTTTTTATTTTGAGGGATTCAGATTATAAAAAACAGAACTTTGGGGGTTTGTAATGAAAACAAATAAAAAGTCAACTACATCTGCCAAAGGATTTGGGTGAGGCGGTTTGCATTTTTGTCCCTTCTCCTTTTTTTTGTTATTTCATTATCTTTCTCTCTTTTTGCTTTTATTTAGTTTTTTTTTTCATTTAATTTACTTTTCATTTTTGTTTAGTTTTAATAATTTCTAAGTTTTGTCATAATGAAAAAGTTGGCTAATTTTTATTAAATGCCAGTTGGCTGATTTTATTTCTTTACTTTAATTTAATTACGTATGTAGTGGTTCATATAGTATCCATGAAAATGATATAGACGTGAGTTCTAAGTCACACCAAATCTTTTTGTTTCATATATTTCTTGTTTGTTCCCAACTCTGCTCCACATATTTCTTATGATTTCATATAACAAACAACAAACATTATAACAAATTCTAATATTATATTCACTATATGTTTTACAAAAAAGAAATATGGATAAACAAGAAAACCACGTCTCTTACATAACAACAAAAGTTTCAAAAAGGAATAAAGACTATTAAGGAGTTACTACAGTTTTTTTAGTCGCATAAAGATGTTAAGCTAATAAGAAAAATATTTTTATTAATTAAACCGAGGCATTGTAGCAGATTAACTTTGTCACGATACGTCGCGTTATACCCGATAAACAAACTCGTAATTTTTTAAAAATTATTGTTTTAGGGATTAGGAAAAAAGAAAGAGGATGATCCTCGAAGGTGAACAACCAATGATAGTACATGTGCAGCTAAACTATCTCAAAGAAGTAGTCGTAACATAAAGCCTATTTCGTCGTTATTGTTATGTCTAGCAGAAAAAAGTCGAAACAGAAGGAAAAAAAAAAAAGGACAAAGCTGCGTACGTGGTAAGTGTTTTGTAATAAAAAATGGTCCAGCTAATGACTACCGTACGATGGCAGCGCTTTTCTGCGTGTTATGAACTGTTCCTACTTAAATCGACGGCTACGTTTAGTTGGCTACGTTGTACCTACGTTTTCATCCCCATTTAATGTTTAAAAATATAAAACAAATAATTCTTTGTACTACAGCTTTTTAGTTGTCTTCAATTCTTACTATAGCATATTAGTATTTTAAAAATATTATGTATATATTTTAATAGTCAAATATGTCCTATGACAAAAAAAGAAAGAAAGAAATATGTCCATGTATGGCCATTGTTGATTTCTTAGTAGTTGAATTCTTCTAAAGAACTCATGACTCAGTTTCTTGTGTTACAAAATGTAGGAAAAAATGTCTATATCAATAATTTAACAGATGTTTATATTAGCAATTCCACATTGGAAGTTAGAAGGTATAATAGCAAATCCAGATTGGAATGCACATACATTTGAAATAATATACCAAACATATATGTTTACTTATTCGAATATTTTGTTCTTTTAAAGAATGAACATGTAGCTAATATACTCTATTTTATTAAAGTGGCTAGAATATATCGTAAGTTTTTCTTACTCGAATAGTCTACTAATCACTTTACTAACCTTTCATTATTTCTTTTTATAGGTATGAGATCACAATGAATCTTTACCATAAAGCAAACATTCAATCGTCTTAAAATGTGTTTCAAAATCTCGAGAATTTCAATTTTTTCAACAACAGAAATATCAAATATCTAACATAAGTCTTGAATGTTTTCACCAAGAGTGTACTAACCCTTTTAACATGATATAGATAGTAGTAGAGCTGAAAGCATTTCTTCTATTTGTTCGGTTCATGATATGTTGTAGCTCACAAAAAAAAATATATTATCCACTCAAAGTGGAGTAGGAATGATTTTGAAGAAATTTTAAATAAATATTATTAAGTGAATGCATTAGATCATGTCATTCTGTAAAATGCGCAGAAGTCACGTTGTCTACAATTCCCCTGAATCTACGTGATTAGTTTTTTTTTTTAATGTATTCAACTTATCGTTTAGTTTTGAATGGATGATTATAAGTTCTTATTCCAAACCCATACACAAGCAGTTTAAACTGTAAATCTTAAGAATACTAACTGTATGATAATATAATATTACTGAACCACACAAAGAAAAGCAGCATAGTGTTCCTTTATCTAATTTTCAAAGAACCAAATGATAATTCTCCATTTCTTCGAGGAAGCGAGAAAAAGAAAAGAAAGAAAAAGCACTAACGAAAGTGCGAAAATGACCAATCTTTTAAAGTACTCGATCACTGGATCTTGACTAACATGTTTCATTTATGTTAAGAGAATTTTAAAACATTTGCATTAAACTTAAATAAAATTATCTAAAGAAAGCTTATAGGTGTATTTCAATGGAAACATAGTTGAAAACAATCTAAGCCAATCAAATGCTTTATGGGTATCACAGTTTTATGTGAAATCGTTTGCCTTCCCAACAGTGATGTTCTGTTCTGCCAAGAACTCTGTAATGGCCTTCTTTTGCCATCCTTTGAAGCTCCTGTATCAAAACCAAAACAAAACCATCTACTTGTAATCCATCCACAAGCATCAAGTTAACAATTTCCAGAAGAAAATAAATGATTCTAGACTTTACTTGTGATCAAGATGAGCTACAATCTCGCCTCCTGGGAATGATGCTTTAGTAGCTTCAAATGCTGCTTGGATTGATTGATTCCAATTCCCACCAATGTGATTCTCTCCAGGTTTTGGTTCTTCCATTGGCAATGAGTATCCAGAAAGCAAATGCCCTACCCAAACATCATCTTTCCTGACAAACTCAATAAACAAAAAATCAGCTAGAGAGACTGACTTTAATGTTATACTCAAGAAAGTTCTTGACAACTTACAAAACTACATCCATGTGACGAGGAGCGTAATGTCCACCTCCAATCCCTAGAAGCACTTTCCTCTTCCCCGTTTCACTGTCCACAAAAAAACTGATTCACATTTCTTTATTTATGTGATGTAATAACTATTAGGCTACTATGAATATATATATACCTGTTCCAGTCCCCTACAGCTTCACCCCCTCCAAGTCCAAGTCCTTCCCACATTAACTAAATCCACATAACACCAATGCTTATACTTTAAAACCATAAATAAAATATCAAACTTTTTAATTCACTTACAAGAGCCATAACTTGAGCTGCGTCTTGTCTCTTCCAATACTCCTCTGTACTACCTACATGTAACACAATTACCAATGATTATATCAGAGCCTAAAACTCTCCATCACACACGAGCTAAGCATTTGGATACAAATAAAATGAACAAAAAGAAACTTACCAATCTCCAAAAACATGGTTGGCTTATTAGTTATTGGTCCATGATGAGTACCTTCCAATGTTATCTACAAAAAGCAATCTCCTTTACACTTTAATCTCTAAAGAAAAAGACAGAGAAGAAACAAAACCTCAAACTCAGGAACTAAGCTATGAGCTTCAGCCATTTTCTTCAAAAGACGCAACCACGGACCAATCCTAGGGCTTGTCAACGCCGCCCATCCCTCCTTTCCTCCCTGCGGCGGAGATTCTCCTTCCTTCAGGTGAAGCACTCCTACAACACTCAATCAACCAAAAGCATCATCCTTTACACAAAAGGAGAAGAAACCCACATAGAAAGTTTTGATCTTTAGCATACCAATGGGGTGAACAGTGAGAGCAGGACGGTTCGAGACGGCGGTGTGACGGCTGAGGAAAATGACTTCGTCGACGGTTTCACCGGTTGCTTCTTCCCACCGTGAATCGAGATCGTCTTCTTTCACTATAGACCCATCGTGTTGGATCACTCTCGTTTGCTGGTTAACGAAACTCTTCATGTCCTGAAGAATCCGACAAGAAAAGTTAGTTCAGACAAGATAAAAAAAGATGAAACGGCGGCGGAAAAAGATGGTAACTTTTACCGGCGGCAATATGGGTCCGGCGGTCCATCCCGGCATGGAGAGAAGCGCCGCCGCGGGATTGATCGACGCTGGGTCGGAGGTGGTGGCTACGATCAGTGTAACCATCTCTCTCTTTGTTACTGTGACGCGACAAGTGGCGTTTAGAAGGGGTTTGATACGAGTTGGGTTTGTTTGGAAACAGAAGCGTGTTATGTTTTGTCCGCTTATTTTTTTCAAAATCATATTTCTAAGATTATTTTTAACATTTGGAAAGCTATTTAAAAAGTTTATTTTTTGTTTGGCCAACAAGCTAGTTATTAAATTGCATACAGGCATGAATTAATCAAGTGTTTCCTCATAGCAATAAAATGTGAAGAATACAAAAAATAAATGGTGCTGCCCAGGATCGAACTGGAGACCTTTTGCGTGTAAGGCAAACGTGATAACCACTACACCACAGCACCTGATGTTTATATAATCTCCAATTATTTTATAATTATTAAGAATGTTGAATGATTTTTTTGTGCTAAATGATTCTTCAAAAAAGCTACGACAAAGAGTATCGATCCTCAACAAAAGATGTTTGTTCTACATATTCTGATAATCTCAACAACTTTGTGAGTTTCGTTTCCTTTCAAGGTTCTCTGATTGCTGCTGAAAATAACTGAAACTTTTGTCTTGGGATTGAGTCATATAGGTGATATGCTGAGAAGTTTTGACTATACTGAATTGTGTATAGAAAGAATGGAGTGCGTATTATAAGTTTTTTCTAAAATTGTGTTTTTGTGCAGTGAGAGAGTGGTGTAGGCACAAGCCGTGATCACTCTGAACAGTTAAAAGTTATCTTTGAGATCCACGGATATCAACAACCAGACCTCTATTTTTAGTTTTCATGTTTCTGTTATCATGATGGCGTTTAGTTTAAGTTCGCTGCAGGCAACAAATCGTTATGAATATGTATTTTGTTATTATAATGACAAACTGAGGTTATGTAGAACGATTTACAGTATCTAATTGTTATTATCACAACTAGGAAACCACCCCGCGCGTAAACGCGCGGGAGAAAGGATATTTTTTTAAAAAGTTATATTTACATAATTTATATTTGTTGATCAATCATTTTGAATCATTTAATAAACTAATTATTTTTTTTATAAAGATCAAAACTTAAAAAAATAATCTTATATAATAAAAGAGTGTAAGTATAATTGTGTTTGGAAATGTGTAAATTTAAATGCTATGTGTTTAGCATAGCAATATTAAGTAAACTTTAAAATTAAAGTCGCAGTCCTTTTATTTTATCTTTTTATACATGAGAAAACAAACTTTTAAAATTTGTTGAACTTCTGGAACAATTTATATCTTTTAAGATTAAACAATATAATATGTTTTAAAACACTGTAATTAACATGGAAAGAACGATACTTTTTAAAACTATGAGACAAGTAACTCCAAACAAACTGGATTAGAAAAACATAAAAAGAATGGATTTTTTCAGAAGAAGAATAAGAGATTACAAAAACAAAGAGGTTGTTTTCTTACAACCAGATTAGTTTGGATATGGTAGTTTAGTTTCACTGAAACAAATTAAACCTATTAATTTAGTTTTGCAGACACCACATTAATTTTTTAAAGATCATTTAGATCTATATAATGAACAAACATTATATTCAAGAATATTAAGAATCATACCTATATTAGAAGAAAAAAACACGTAAATTTTCTTAAAGATTGCATCTGTAAAACGTTCTATTTATAGTAATCTGAAAAGGTACATTGATAGATTATCAAGAGGTGTGTTTTGTTTTAAAATGAATATTTTCAAGAGTTGCGAGGAAAAAAATTCAACTAAATACATTTTCAGGACCATTAGATAGATACATAACAATTACAACCACCAGATTGAAACTCTTCAAAAAAAATTTTAAAAAATCAAGAATTAGAGAAAAGTATGACTCTTCAAATTAAAGAGATCTATTGTTTGAAAAAAATTAACTGCTCATAGCAAATTTAATTTAAGTATAAAAAAATTATTAAAACCAATAGAAGAAAAACAAAACAATTATAACCAAAGAGTGTAATCCTTCAATATGAAAAAGTAAGATTCTTTCATGTAAAAAGATGTGTTGTTTGAAAAAAAAATGTTAATGGCATAAATATGTTATGTCTAAAAACATTTCTTTGGACAATTGCATGAAAAACAAAACAATGGTTTAAAGTTGTATATTTTCATAATAAACTTTGTATATTTTCATAATAAACTAACATATATTAGTTTAAAAGTTGCATTTTTCATTAAAAATTAATTGTGTCTTTTAAAAAAAAACAATTGTTAAAAAGTTGTATCTTTTCATGAGAACCGAAATATATTAGTTTACAAGTTGCATTTTTTAATTATAAATAGAGTTGTGTATTTTCATAAAAAAATCTCTATTATTTTAAAATTTGCATTTTCACTATTAAAAGAGTTTATGTTTCAGATAAAATAGTTTAAAAGTATTTAAAAGAAGTTATAAGAATTGTGTCTTCTCATAATAAAAAATGTTGAAAGGTTGTATATTTTCATAAAAATCTAAAATATATTAGTTTAAAAATTGCATCTTATCAGTATAAAAATAATTGTGTATTTAAAAAAAATCTATTATTTCAAAAGTTGCATGAAAATTTTATTAGGACCATTAGATCAAAAACAAAACAATTGTTGAAATGTTGTACCTTTTCATAAGAACGGAAATATATTAGTTTACAAGTTGCATTTTTTATTATAAATAAATTTGTGTCTTTTTATAAAAAATTATCAATTATTTTAAAAATTGCATCTTTTCATTATAAATTTTTTTTTGTGTTTCAAAAAAAATAGTTTAAAAGTATTTAAAAGAGGTTGTAAGAGTTGTGTCTTCTCATAATAACAATTGTTGAAAGGTTGTATCTCTTCATAAAAAACTGAAAATATTAGTTTAAAAGTTGCATCTTTTCATTATAAAAACAATTGTGTTTCAGAAAAAATAATTTAAAAATATATAAAATAGGTTATAAAAATTGTGTCTTCTCGTAATAAAAATCTATTAATTATAACAATCTTGATTAATTTTAAAGGTTGCGAATGCCAAATAAAAAGAAAATTGAGACTCTTAATAAAAATGTCTATTAGTGTGAAAGGTTGAAAATACAAAATAAAATGAAAATTTGTGTCTCTTTAAAGAAATAAATGAAAGATTCTGTCTCTTAATAAATAAAATGAAAGGTTTTCTCTTAATAAAAATCACAACTAATTCTAAAGATTGTGAATGTCAAATAAAATAAAAGTTGTGTATCTTAATAAAAAATCCCAATTAATTCTAAAAATTTTGAATGTTAATCAAGATGAAAGGTTGTGACTCTTAATAAAAATATCAATTAATGTGAAATGTTGTAAATGTAAAATAAAATGAAAAGTTGTGTCTTCAAAAAAATATAAAATGAAAGTTGTTTCTCTTAATAAATAAAATGAAAGGTTGTGTCTTCTAATAAATAAAATGAAAATTTGTGTCTCTTAATAAATAAAATGAAAGGTTGTGTGTCTTAATAAAAATACCAATTGATTCTAAAGTTGTGTATCTTAATAAAAATTTCAACTAATTCCAAAGGTTGTGAATGCCAAATAACATGAAAAGTTGTAATTCTTAATAAAAATGACAATTAATGTGAAAGGTTGTAAATGCAAAATAAAATGGAAAGTTATGTCTCTTTAAAAAAATGAAAATTTGTGTTTCTTAATAAATAAAATGAAATGCTGTGTATCTTAACAAAAATCTCAATTAATTCTAAATGTTGTGATGGCAATAAAAAAGAAAAGTTGTGTATCTTAATAAAAATCTCAATTAATGTGAAAGGTTGTGAATGCCAAATAAAATGAAAGGTGGAGTCTTTTTGAAAAATATATTTTATGTTTTGTTAAATATCCCTAAAAGTGTCTTTTTAAAAAGAAAACAAATAAATAATTAACCTTCTCTGATTCTTTTCATATTTAATTTTAAAAATAATTTGCATTTAAATTTGGCATACAAACTTTATAAAATAGTTACATAATTTGTTTAACATGATACACCTTTGATTGTATATTCATTTCTATAGGTGTGTAGTATTTACCATCAAGAGTCATGTCTTTCCATTAAAAATTTTTTTTTTAAAAAAAGCTGAGGTGTATTTCTAAAGTAATGTTATTTTTTGAAAAGATATGTCTATTCAAATTATATTTTAAAAATATCATTTTAAATAAATACCTTTAGTTTTAATAATTGTGACTATTCAAAGGTTTTTCACTATCTAACTATTTCAAATGGTTGTGAAAAAAAATTAGATGTGTTTTTGATCATATGAATATTTGTTAATTAATAGAGTTCTGTTTTTTTCTTTTTATGAAAAGATCAATTTATTTATAATAAAGTAGCACAATGCTTGAAACTAATAGAGTTCAGTTCTTTTTTTTTTATGAACAGATAGACTCTTTAATAATGTAAAAACACAACTTTAAGACTAATTTATTACTATTTTATAATGAAAAGACACAATTTTTTGAAAATATACAATTTTTTTAATAATGAAAAGTTTTAAAGTAATATCTTTCAGTTTTTTATGAAAAAGTACAACCTTTCAATATTAATTGGGATATGTAAAATTAATAGATTTATTTATAATTATTTTAACTACTTTTAAACTATGTTTTTTAAACACAAACTAATTTATTTTTTATAATAAAAAGATGCAACTTTTAAATTAATATATTTCAGTTTTCCTGAAAAGGTGCAACCTCTAAATTTTTTTTTGGGTTCACAAAGTCATCAATAGAATTTATCAAAAAAGTCGTCAATAGAAAATATTTATAGTTGCACCTTTTAGTTCCTCGTGTGTGTACTTTATTGATTATTTTGCCTCATGTGTGCTTTCATTTGTACATTAGCAATGAGTCTCGCTTCCTTAAAGAAGTGATTCTCTACACGATTACAGTAGAGAATCACCAACCGAATAAAAAGACAACACTAAGAAATGCTAGCATAGATAATTTTAGTAAATGGAAAAACATATACTCTTTTAGAAATGGAAATATTAATTGACTACCGTGAATGCTTGTATGAACAATCAAATATGCACATGATTCCGACAACGTACATGATCAAAATATACAAAATTTGGAAGAATAGAAAACTAACCTTTCAATCTAGTAAAATAA